ATCAAACCCAGGACCTTGCACTTGCCAGGCAGGCACTTACTCCCTGACTTTCCTGTCTGTCTTTTATAATTAAAACACAAGTTCTCCTCAAAAGTCTTCTTGGTTTTGTTTTTTTTTTTTAGAAATGTAATAGCAAAAGAACAAATAAATCAGGGCTGGGGAGATAGCTCAGTGGTCCAAGCATCTGCCTGGCAAGCCCAGGGACCCAGGTTCTATCCCAGCTACCACTTGCTATACTGCCTCTGAGACCCGGGCTCTCTGGCCTCCTGAACTGGGCGTGATGGCACACGCCTGTAATCCCAGTGTTAGGCAAGCTGAGACAGGAGGATCTCTATGAGTCTGAGCTGCGTCGCGAGACCCTGTACCAAATAAACAAGAATCAACACTAGGAAGAAAGTATGCAATGTGTCAATTATTGAAACTGTCCTACCAATTTGATTTGAAACTGTCTCATTGCTATTTGTTTCTCAATAAAATTATGAAAAAAAGAATCAAAACAAACAAAGCATTAGTTTGCTAGTTTAATGTTAAACCAGTCCTTGTGGAGAAGCGGGAATTAAGATTAGTGATCCCGGTTATCTTTGTCATTGCAGAGGCTGCCATGAACATGTAGAACTCTCGTGGGTTTTCTAGTAGCTGAAAGGAAGGATGTGCAGCAAGCGCAGAGAATTGAAAATACCTGGAGTGTGGGTTGCCATCCTAGCTAAATAATATTGTTCTCTGTAAAATTGTTGTCTTTTCTGCAGAAATCCTCAGTATGTTGAAGAAAATGTCAGAACTTCATGGTGGAAAACCTTTTTCGAAGATAGGTTAGGGAGAGGTACAAGCAAATATGTTGCAGTTCACAAGGCTGAGCAATAGATGGCGCTGTCCTCTCTTTCTAACTAGAAGAAAGGTCACTAGGTTTAATTGGGTTTTAAAGCTACGTGGTGGAACTAGATAGGTTTCTTTTCTAGTTTTTATCAGAATGAAAAGTGATAAGGCATCACTACGCAGCTGGTATTGTTTCCTGTATTTCACAAATGAAATGGTTGAGGCTTAAGAGAGTAACTTGCGTATAGGCACAATTAGTTAGACTTCCAGTTTTGACAGCCTGATCACAGAGTTCTGTATTCCCACCCAGCTCTGTGTTATCTCCATTTCATCTAGTAAGATGCAAATATTGGGGGGTTTGATATTTCATATGTTTCTATGAACAGTGAGAATTTTTCCCCTTCCTTTTGATTTTGTTGTTCACGTTGATATGGAACAACCAAGAAAGACTAGAAAATGCTACATAGTCATTTGTAAAGTCCGGTAAGCTGATAAATTTCATGATCTCGGGCTGGGGAGATAGCTCAGCAGCATAAGCGCCTGCCTGACAAGTGCAGGGTCCTGAGTTTGATCCCTGGTACCGCATGCCATGCCAGCCCCAGAACCCCAGCACTTGGGAGGCTGAGACAGGAGGATCACTGTGAGTCCAAACTGTGTCACTATGAGTCCACTATGAGACCCTGAACAACAACAACAAAAAAAATTAATGATCTCTAACATGATTGGTACCAGTAAATAGTCATTTGTCCAAAAATTCAGCTAAAGCAAAGAATGATTTTTTATTTATTTATTTATTTATTTATTTGGTACAGGGCCTCTCTCCATAGCTTGGACTCATAGTGATCCTCCTGTCTCAACCTCCTCAGCACTGGGATTATAATAAACGTGTGCCTGTAATGATGTATATTTCTTACTATTTTTTTTAAAAGACATACAAATTAGAATTAAAACAGAAAAAAATTACAAGTGATACAGATTTTTACTTAACAAAGTAATATGGATTTATCTACTTACTATTTTATGTTTTAATAAGTGGGCTATGATGTGCCATTTTCGATGTGCAGCCACACTTGTGTTTTCAGTTTTCCAGGGTTCGTTTCTGTGAAGTATAGCGTAAACTAACAAAACTTTAAAAGCTGTCTGATTATAGAAACCTGCTAGGTATTTCTTCTCCCTCACTAGCAGCAGTTTTCCCTAGAACTTATTTTTATGTAATCCTGAAATGTGCATATTGATTTTTAAAAATAACTCTGTCCTCTGTATGTAAATTTGATTCTATTGCATAAGTACTACTAGCAAGCACAAGTAATAAACCATTGAACAAGTAATAAACCACTGACAATAAGCAGCCAATACTTGGTAAATGCGCAAGTCATTTAAGACAGCTTTTGTTGAATTCAAATGTGTATCTTTGAAAAGCCCCCCCCCCCTTTATTTTTGCAGTACTGGGGATTGAACTCAGGACCCTGCGCTTGCCAGGCAAGCGCTTACTCTACTGAGCTATCTCCCCAGCCCCCAAAAGCCCTTTTTTGCTGAGTGTACATTTTCTTCTCACTTCTGAAGGCATCTAAAGCAGTTCTCAGCTGGGATGAGGGCAGCCCATGTGTCATGAGTGGGTGTTGGGCCAACCATTGCATTTCCCCCACCCTGCTGCTTTCTTGGGTCCCTCCCCAGAGAGAAGAGCGTGAACACCCTTTAGGTGGGCTGAGCAGGAAAAAAGTGCAAGCTCCACTGTGCCTACTGGCAGAGAATTTTCTTGTTAATTTTATATTTCAAAACAGTGTTAAAGAATCTTCATTAGGGGCTGAGGAGTGTAGTTCAGTGTTAGAGTGCATGGTTAGTATGTATGAGGCTCTGGGTTCAATCCCCAGAACAACAACAACAACAAAATGTCATTAGTTATAAAATCTTTGTATTTGACTTTATAATAAAACTAAAGTTAGAAAGCCTTCCTATGATCAGAAACATGAAGTTAGTCCATGAAGACATCTGCAAATATTTTAAACCTGACATTTGATTTCTTAGATTCATAAAATCCAAAGTCAAGTAATTTTTATAAGAATTATAATGAGAAACAGTCTATGTCTTTCTTTCTGAGTTCTGTGAGTGGTTTCTTTATTAATCATCTCTTCCTAAACAGTATGGTCATGTCGTCCTCGCCTCACTTGCTAGTGTGTACCCTGTCTGCTGAGTAGTGGTGTGGAGGGAAGCCCTGCCCCTCTGCTCACCTCAGGGTGCCTCCTCTCCTACAGCATACTTCTACAGATATGTAGATGCAGCCGCTCTGATTCTCCATGGGATGGTGCTGACTGTAGATGCAGTTAAGCCATGAATGGATACTGAGACTGTTTCCATATAGTAGCAGTTTTTGTTCCTAGGATCACTCTTTTTCTTTTTGTATTTTTTTAGGAAAGGATCTACAGGGTGTTCAGGGTCTCACTACTAGATCAGACTCGTAGTGATCCACCTGTTTACAGCCTCCCAAGAGCTGGGATTACAGGGGCGCACCACCACACCCAGTCTGAATTGCTCTCTCAGTGTACCCTGGGGGCAGGGCCGGCACCAGCAGGTCTGGGGATCGAACCTTCAGCCCCTGAAACTGCTTGCAGGCGCTTTAATCCGCTGAGCTATTTGACTGGCCCTAATCACTTGTTATCTTTGCCTAGTTTTTTATGTAGCTATGTATCTTTGGGAACTCCAAGGAAATGCAAAACCCAGCTGAATGCTTTTCCTTCAGGCCCTCTCAAAACGCCAGGATTCTGTCCCTTTGCTTTTCCCAGAGCCAAACTTCCTGTAGACAGCCATGGCCGTGGTGGCTGACACAGATGGGTAGAGAACCCCAAGCGGACCTTAGCAGTGGGGAGACGATCAAGAGTTGGCCTGGGGTGTGGTGCAAGCCTGTAATCCCAGCGCTTAGGAGGCTGAGGCAGAAGACTGTTGAGTTGGAGACCAGGCTGTGCTATGTAGCTGGCCTAGCTCAAAAAAAAAAGAGTAGATTTATACATTACTCCTGATGTAAATGTAATCTTTCTTATCATCCATCACTAAGCAGCAAAAGGGCTATAAAAGCTGACAGTACCTTTTGATATAATCACCCCAGCTTTTGTAATATATCCTATAAAAATAAATAAAAAATGTTGGCATATTTCTTTTCCTACTTGTCCAGAGTGAGTGAGTCTGTCTTTCTGTCTGCCTTTCTCTCTATCTGTCTCTGTCTCTCTGTTTGTCTCTGTCTCTCTCTTTCTCTCTTTCTCTTTCCCCCTCCCTCCCCTTTTTCCACCCTTCAAATAAGTGGTCTGCTTTTATTTTAAACTCTGTTCCTTTAGTTCTTTTCCTGCCCCTGGGCTTAGGCTCTCCAGGAGCTGCATATTCCAGCGAAGAAGCTGTGTGTGCTGTCCGCCCCTCCCAGCCCTCCTCAGACATCACCATTTGGCATCACCATGCCTGGCGGTGGTGTTTGACTGGTCCTGGCCTTCATAATAAAACCATTTTGCTATTGAGAAAAAGTCCTTTTTTACAAAAATATGTTATATGTAATAGGAAAATAACTGAGACAAACTAGATGGTCTCTGAAAACATCTCACAGCAGGTCTATTATTGTGTGAAAAGTATGTTAATAAAGTGAAAAGAAAAAAGGCAGAACACAAAGGAATATACATAGTGATACTGTTAGTTATGCCCAAGGATGGGGTGCAGGGAGACAGGCAAGGCTGCGAAGGCTGCATAGGACGTCTTCAAGGTGCTGGAAGTCTGTCTTGGTGGCCTTGCGATTACAAGCACGTACGCAGGGAGGAAGAGCGACAGAGCAGACACAGGCACCACCCGTGTCCGGTCACACCTCCATTAGGGGAGATTACAAGGACTTCTCACAGTCTTTGAACTTCCTGTGACGCTATCACCATTTCAAATTAATTTTTTTTGATCCCTAAAAGCTTATAAGATGCCAGATATATCAGGGTTACAGGGGTGTTCTGGAGTATTTGATTTTTACTTTTTGTCTTGTTGTTTTAAGTTTTTTTGCACATTAAAGTAAGTTAAATACACAATTATTTTAAGTGCTATGTGAGTTACCAAAAGTAATTCATATTTCTCAGTAGATTTTATACCAACTGGATATTGCCTTCTTGTTTGTTTTAGTATGTGCCAAGAGTTGTGACTTCAGCACAGCAGAGAGCTGGGAGAACCATTACTGCGCGGATCACAGGGAGATGTGATTTTGCTTCAAAAAACAGGATTAATAGTGGTTTAGCTATAATGGGAGTGTCTCCTCCCATGAGCTCCGTTGTTGTGGAAAAACATCATCCGGTCACAGTGGTGAGTCCTCCTTTGATGACCTGTTGTAAAGAACTCTTTCTCCTGAGAGTTTGTAGAATCAGCCCTCCAGTGACATTTTGAAATCAAAATCTAATGTGGCTGGCACTTGCCCTGCCCCTTACTGTTACAGTTAATGCATGGCCAGGTCTGCCTTCCCTTTGTTACAAAATTCATTCTTGAAAGTCTTTCTTCAAGTGGAACAATTATCTAATACCAAAAGTAATCAGTGTGTTGGTTCCCCAAAAGGCAAACTGTACAATGATTTAAGATAAAACTGTTCACTCATGAACCAGCCGTTCATGTAGTAGATACTTGATTACAAAACTTGCTGTTACTTCGGTAGTGTTTAAATTTATTCCCATTTTTAAAAAATCTTCTCCTTTTGTCAATACAATTGTCAACATGTTTCTAGTTTTGTTTATTTGTTTTTTAGTCAGATTCTATGAATTTGTTAGAGAAAGGAAGATATATAGTATTTAAAGAAGAAATAAGCAAAAAAGTACCTGGGATAGTTAGTGCCTCAGTTTGCTCCTCATTGACTGTGAGCATTCGCAAATCAAGTGAAATGTTGCAGCTTCCATTTCCTCTTCTATAAAATAAGGTTGTAAGGATACTTACCTCCTACACGTATACTGGATTCAGAATTTTACGATAATGTAAAAGTTAAAGAGATGTGTGAGAGCACTCTCTAAACTGAGAAGCCATAAGCAGAGTTAACTTACAAAAAGTTACTAGAAAAAGAACATGAAATATCTTTTATTTCTTACACCACCCTAGAAATGAACAATTTCCTCACAAAGTAAAATCCAAAAAGAGTAACACAAACGTATCACTAGAGTCCTAAGGATTGGTCTTAAAAGACAGTACCCCATCCTCAATGTTAGAGAACATTCCTGTCTACTCAGTATGTGAAAGTATTAATATGAAAGTGTGATTTGTTAAAGTTTTTCTCCCTGGATACTAGGTGGTTCCTAGATGATTACATCTCTGAAACTGGGTTATTAAAACGGAGCCCCAGGTGTGGTAGAGACCAGCAGCGTAAGCACCAGGGCCAGGTAGAAACGTGCAGGCGAGGGAGGAGGTATTTTAGGGTTCCTTTCTTTCAAACTCTGTTTTAGATTTTATGTTGTGGGGTAATTTTTTGTTTATGTGGTGTTGTGAAATAAAACAGAGATATCCCATGGTTTTGTTTTTTTTCTGGACCCTAATAGAAGCCTGTGTATACATGACTGAGAACTTGATGACAAATCCCACTGCTGGCTATGGGAGGCTGTACTGCACAGAAGAGAAAAAAGCTTTACGTATTTTACTTATACATGTGCATGTGATGTGTACAGGGCTAATCAAAAAGCACAGTATTTAAATTTAATTTATTGGGGCCGGGGAGATGGCTCAGTAGGATAAGCGCTTGACTGGCAAACGCAAGGATCTGAGTTCAATCCTTGGTTCCGCAAAATAAATAAATAAATATTAATTTAATTTATTACAGTAAAAGACAGGTTGTCATTAATTCCCTCAGAGTACTTACCTTTGCTTCCAACCCCCTGTCCTGTCGGTCTGGCCTCTCTCTGGAGAGTTCTGGAAGTCATGCTGTCATGGCTGCCTTCATGTCCTAAGCCATTCAGAAAGTTCACTTTGGCATTTTGGCTTTAAGGAAGAGCTAGAAACTGCATGGCGCAAGATCCTGTCAAGAGCTGGATATGGACACACCATGATATATTTGATAGAAATTGATCAAACATTGTGAATTGTTTCAGGACATAGAGGCACCCATTAAAACACTCCTGAAGGAGGACTTCCAGAACTGCTCAGAAAGTGGCAAGAAGGGTGGGGTACGTGGGGCTGCAGCTAGAAGGAGTATTGGAGGCGGGGGAGTCAGTGGCACTATGTTTTTTACTGTAATAAAGTATTTTATTCAAACATTCACCATATGTTTGGCTCACATCTCTTAGGGACCGAGTCAGATGTGCACAGGTGTTAACACTTCAGTGCTCGTGTCCAAGATGTTCTCCTAGGCCCCGGGGTGATGGCCACATCTTCCCCTCAATACATGTCCTCAGCATCTAGGTATTCCCTTGCTAGGAAAGTCATGACACATAGTAACAGAGAGCCTGGCTTCTGGGAAAACCTACTCAAATGTGACCTGGTTTCACCTGTGCTTCAGGGAACCAGGCGAGGTATGAGGCCGCTGGTTTGAAACAGGACCAGCCTAGGTCCTTGGGGCTTCCCATGTCCTCCAGGAGTGGACCCTGCGTTCCAGGTGGGCTCCGGGCAGGGCTGTGTCTCACACACCACGAAGCCCCTTTCTCTGCGTAGCCACTTTGTCCTCCTTGAGGTGCAGCTCCACAGCTGTAAAATAAACTCATTCAGTCGTGGGCACCACGCATGCCCAAATGCACATGGGCTCCAAAACAGGCTTCGTCCTGTTTGTTTTAATGTCACGTCAGCTAACTCATTGCTAATGTCTGCTGGATGCTTAACGAATGCTTACTGGGTTAAACGACAGATAATGAAATGATAGTGCAGTTATCTCAGGAGGTTGTTAAGCACGTTTTTATCCTTTCAGCAAACGATTCCCCAAGCAACTGCTGCAAAATACCCACGGAGCATTCACCCTGAAGGCGGCACCTCAGCTTCCAGATCGCTCGGCACCAGGTCGACCCACACCCAGTCTCTCACAAGCATTCAGTCCATAAAAGTGGTTGACTGAAGTGACTACGTTCTTGTGACATCTGTTAAGTCCCCTGGTTTTACCAAGGATTGGAAGTCTTTTAGTTTTTAACATTTCTATGTTGTAAGACCATCGTAGGTGTATCATGTTCATCTTACCAGAATGATGAGAGACTTTTTCAAGCAGTAACACCCTTTGTAACTATATGTAAAGATTATTTTAATGTTATTTTTTATTTAAGCAATTAAGTAAAACTTTTTTAAATTAAAAAACTATTTTTAATATGTTCAGTTTATCATTGATTATATCATCAAAGTATGTAAATCTTGTTTCCTGTACATTATTTCTAAAAGGCCAAGTCATTTCCAATGTTACTGAGCTCTAATTTACTTGAAAAATCTAAGAAGGAATTTTACCTTAAGCATTAATAAAGCTAATAGAAGCTAATATATTTTTACATTAAAAAGCTAAAGACCAAGAATAATAGTTGTGATGTTTTTATCACAGCTTTTTGTGATTTATTGTTTTCATTTTTGTGTAACAGTGAAAAATAAAGGAAAATACCAATACCTATGGGTAATTTTCTTTTTTTAATGTATTCGGTATAGGATTTCACTACACAGCTCAGACTCGTAGTGATCCTCCTGTTTCCAGTCTCCCCAGCACTGGGATTACAGGCATGTACCACCATACCCAGTCCCTGTAGCTGACTCAGTGTGCCTGGGGGCAGGCATGGTGTAGCATTTGGTGCTGGGGTTTGAATCTAAGTCCCTGCACTTAGTCCACTGAGCTGTCTTGCCGGCTGTATCCTATGGGTAATTTTTAATGCTAAAAGAAAATGGGGGAAGAGCTGGGGAGATAGCTCAGCAGCTTAAGTGCCTGCCTGGCAAGCACAACGTACTGAGTTCAATCCCCACTACCAAAAAAAAGAAGAAGAAGGGGGGGTGTTTAATAGTAGCACAAAACAAGTTGTAGGAACATGACCAGGGAGTTGCCTATTAGAATGGTCCTATTTTGGGTGTTCTTTCTGGCCTCGCTTGAGGCTAGCTTTGTCCTGAGGCCTGTGTGTACATCACGTCCAGGTGTGTGCTGGGCTGCAGCCCGGGCAAGATGAAGGCCTAGGCTTGAGGTCTGTGCTGAGATTGCCGAGAGGGAGGGAGAAACCATCAGGGCAGAGCTGATGGAGAAGAAAGAAGCCTAGCTGGCCATTATTGCTAGCTCTTTGAGCCGGCAGAAACTTAAAGGGAATCCTCATCACTGAAATTGAGTCAAATCTGCCAACCCTACCTATTTCATGTTGTGCTTGTAGAGTACCTAAAAGTAAGTCGATTCTGGGCGTGGGGGTACAGGACAGCGGCCCAGCACCTGCCTAAAATGCACCAGGGATGCGCCCCATCCCCCACAAAAAGAAAAAACCATTCTGAACAGTCTGGCTAAGTAGCTGTAACAGAAAGGGATGGGCTTCATAACCTAAAGTCTCTTCTGACTTAAACATAATAGAATTCTATGCTGTAGCTAAACTGAAAAGAGATCATTCTTTTTTGCTGTTTCCACTGGTAACAGGACATCAACAAATACATGCAATCAAGGCACACAGAATCCCACTTTCTAACAGGCCTTTTCTGAGTTTTAGGAGCAGCAGCTGACTCTCATGGAGTGTGAGGTGCTTTGTCACGAGGTTCTGGATTCTGGCCCAGCTGCAGCCGGGCCAACGGTTACCCGCGCTGGTCTCGCCCTCCCTGTGGCCTTGGCCTCAGTGACACCTTGTGCTCACAGACCAGTCCTGCAGCCTCCCTGTGTGAACCTGAGACGTCCGGTCCATCTTCTGTGCCGTAAGTGGACCACACAGCGAAGCAGCCGGTGATGGCCAGTCTGTCCTGCACTCGCCCATCTCCTGCCCTGGTCACTCCCAGCCCCCTTGCTCCAGATCTGGATTTATATTCCTAAAAGAAAGTGTTTCCATAAGGCAGGGGCCCAGCTTCCTGAGGACTCCACGCTGCACCTACGGTGGCTGTGAGTATTCAGGGCAAGGCCACGTGGACAAGCTAAAGCAAAGGGGAATGTGATCACTAAGAATATTATAAGCATCTTTCTAGCTTTAAGCTCTAGAAAGTGTCTGAAACACCAAATAGGGTTGGCCTAAGGTAACACAAATTCAACAGTTAGAACACTTGATCCAGGAAGAGCATGACTTTATAGCCATGCCTGCTGGTACACACTTATAATCGCAGCACCCACGAGGCTGAGGCAGGAGGATCACCATGAGTTCAAGTCATCTTAGGCTACATAATTTTAAAAGACCAAAAAAAAATATTTTTTTTGATAATTTTTTTTGGGGGGGGCAGAACCGGGGATTGAACTCAGGCCCTTGCGCTTGCCAGAGAAGCACTTATTCTACTGAGCCATCTCCCCGGGCCCTAAAATAAAAAAAAAAATTAAAAGACTATGTCTTTAGTTGTACATAGAGTACTCAGATTTGGCAGTGGGGTTAACATGGTCAGCAAAAACTGGCCATGCTGAAGATTAGACGGAGGTGAGAATTCCACCCAGCACCTTTTAAAACTTTGGGGGACGATGTGAGTGTAGTACCTGCCTTCTATGTTCATAGCCCTGAGAGGACAGTCAGAATGACAGCAGTGTAAACTATAAATTCATGGTAGTAGCCCTGGGCTCAGATTGCTCATGAGGGGCCCTTAAAGTGAGCAGGGGTGCGCATAAATCGATGCAGAGGGTATCTGTGTTCACATTTGTTTCATAACTGCCTCAGATATCAAAAATCTTGGCAGAAAGAATTGGAGTACACCAAAGGATACATTTTTAAATCACTTATAATTACATTACCAACAGATGAAAGAATTGGGGTATATGTACTTCTTGTGTTATCTAAGTAATACATTGCACATACACAGGATTTAAAGCTGCCAGCGGCTAAATGTAAATTTTCTCTTGCTGAGGAGAAATCCCAGTTCATGGTTTCCACACTAGGGGTGTGAAATCCGGGGTCCTGTCAGGTTCCCCACCCTAAGGAACACACATTGTCCATGTTTAATAATGAAGGAAACAGGACTTGAGGATTTAAATAATATTGACATCCCCACAGCTCACACCTAGCAAGTTGCAGAACCTATTTCAAGCCACTTGTTCCCCCGGGGACAGTTGTTTTAAACAGGATGGGCAGGACCCTCCCGCACTATGCTGCTACGTGCGCTGTAGCGAGTGAACAGTAGCACAGTCAACGTGGAACTTGCCAGAAGGAAAAAAGAGAACAACACAAGTGCAGCAGTTGGAAGTGTGTTAGTATTGCTCTTCAATTCTCAGCTAGAGGCTCCTGCCCTGCCGTCTGCATAGCTGAGAGAGGAGAAATCAATACTTTTGGAAGAAATGTAAGGCAGTAAGGACCTGCATTTAAAAGAACTGAACGCTGAGTTAAAAAATAAAATAAAAAAAAAAAAAAAAAGTAAATAGACATAACTGCAGCCTGTAATCCTAGCAATCTGGGAGGCTGAGGCAGATGGATCATAAATTCAAGCTCAGCCTGGGAAACTGCCACTTAGTGAAACCCTCTCAAAAAAAAATTTTTTTTTAAATAAATAAAGAGAGGCTAGAGATATAATAACTCAATGCAAAGGCCCTGGGCGCCATCACAGTACTGAGAGGAAAACCGAAACCTGAGAAGCTAGGTGTGGTGGCCCAGCGCTGCAACCCCAGCACGTGGGAGGCTGAGAGGCAGGCGGACGCCACAAACTGAAGCCCAGGATCGGCTACCTGGTCCAAAAAAAAGGGGGCGGGGGGGGGAGAAAAAATGAATATAATTTCTTCAGGCATTTATGAAATTGCACATTTCCTGGAGCTTGAGTCAGCTTTGCGTTTGACTTGACGAATCTTTTCTGCAAAAGAGAAGATTGCATTATTGATTAATAACTGACATTTTTAGTCACAGGTGCTCGTCTAGGCCCACACGGCCCTTTCGTGCAGACGCTTTCGTTTTTTTTGTAGGCCGTAGGTGGAACGCGGGCACCCGGAGGTCCAGTCCCCGCCGCTCGGGGCTGAGGGCTCGGGGCTGAGGGGGAGCCCCTCCGCCAGCCTTCCCGCGGACACTTGCACAGGAGGGATGGAAGCTGCGCGCATCGCCCCGAGTCCAGGCTCTGTACGCAGCAGTGCACGCACTAGGTCTGCGGTCTGCCGGCAGCTGCCCTGGACTCGGCCTCCTCACTCCGCGGTACTCTAACGCCAGCTCGCTCAGGAGGCTGGCAGAGAATCTTTCCCTGACAAATATGATCAGGGCTTTTGGCAGAGTGATTTTTAGCAATGACCTCAGCTGGCACATGAACAGCCTGTCTGGCCTTTGTTGCTTAACCTGGAAGTGACATTTTCAAATCGACCCAACTGCAGCGCTCTGCAACAAGGCAACGCTGGCTGCCCAGAGAGACGTTCTTACTGTCTGGGCAATCCTGCACCACAGGAGGTGGTTCAGCCTTTCTGTCCCACCCCATCTACCGCCCCACAAGAGAGAAGCAGAAACCCACGCTTTTCCAAAGGCCCTGCAGAGAGGCTGCCTGGTGTGGTTGGGCACACTCACACTTGGAAGGCTGAGGCAGGAGGATCGCTGAGACATTGGGGTAGCCTGGGCTATAAAGTGAGTTCAAGGCCAGCCTTAGATGCATTATGAGAGCCTGTTTCAAAACGATACCCCCCCCCCAAAAAAAAAGTGACTGGTGTCACCCAGCTCACCCACTGGAGGAGACGCCCTTTCACAGCTCTGGAGGGGCTCAGCTAAGGCGTCAGCACCATCCCGGACCACAAGGGGGCGCTTCCGCCAGCAGGAGGCCGTCACTCACCAGCCAGTTCCGGGAAGCCTGCGCGCACCAGCTCCGCGTACAGGTGCCTGTCGGGGTCGGGCTGCGTCCTCAGGGTCCCGTGCAGCCAGATGAGCAGCGCCCTGTGGCCGTGCTCACGGAAGCTGTCCTTTCCTACCGAGCACAGGAGATGCGGGTGAACCTCAACTCCAACGCGCCCTTCCTGTCCCCGGCAGCCAGGCACCCAGGGAACAGGGCAAACCTCCCCTTTCCGTTCCCACGCCGCCAGGCTTTATGAGGACCCGCGTTTGCATCCGCGGTACGTGTGCCGGGGGCAGCCAGGCGCGCAGAGGGGACCGGACCACCATGGTGCCGGCTGGGCAGCGAGCACGACCTGAATGTGGTGTGGCGCTCTTCTGTGAAGCGAAAACACCGCGGCCAGACCCAAAGTGCCTATCTCAGCGGGGCGCAGCCTGTAATCCCAGCACTTCGGGAGGCTGAAGGAGGGGGATGGCAACTTTAAGCCCTGGCAGGGTAGCTGAGTGACTTAGAAAGAAAGACCCTTTCTCAAATTGAAACATTTTAAAAGAGTTGGGTAAGTACAAAGTCCCTGGGTTCAATCCCCAGTACCACCAACACAAACCACCTGTTTCACCTGGGCACCTCGCTAACCTGTAGCTTCTGACTGGGGTGAGGGGGCGTGTCCGATGGGCTCAACCCGGCCCCAGGAATCCGTAAATCACACCCTTGAACAGCAGGCAGGTGCCATTCCTCCACCAGTTTCAAGGAAGGCAACTCAGATGCAAGGCTGCAACCCCCACCCCACCCCACCCTGCATCGGGGTGGTACATGCTGCAAGCACACCCAGATCCTGGCCCCGGAAGATGCTGAGGGGGGTATTGTGACACCACTGTCGCTCCCACCAGAGTCCACGGTGACAAAATGGGACAGGCCTTTTGCAGAAACAGACAGAGCTCTGAGGACCCGGAGGAAGTGAGCTGCTGGGGGTGGGGGGTGGGGGGAAGGCAAAGTGTCCAGGGAGAGGACCCTGCCTGCAGGAAGCACAGTTCAGCAAGGGCAAATACTCTGTTCCTCTCTCAACTTTGACAAACTACCATATTTACCCCAAAATAAGACCTAACTGGAAAATAAGCCCTACAGTGACGCTTCAGGATGTTCATAACATAAGCCTGACCCACAAAATAAAACCCAGTTAAAATCAGCCAGATGGGTGCTTTATTTGTTTATTTATTTTTAATGTGTTTGTACAGGGTCTCACTGCACAGCTCCGATTTGTAGTGATCCTCCTGTTTGCAGCCTTCCCACTGCTGGGATTACAGGTGTGTGCCACCAAACCCAGCGGCTGGCTCAGTGCACCCGGGGGCAGGGCCAGCATGGCATGTAGTGCCAGGGATTGAACCCCAGTCTCCGCACTTGCCTAAGCAGGCGCCTAGTGCTTAATCTGCTGAGCTATCTCACTGGCCCTCGGATGGGCACACTGAACGTGTCAGTCACAGCACACTATAGATGTACTGAATTATAAAATAATGTTAACATATAATTAAATATAAATAGTAGTAACACCAATACTTATATGATAATATAAAATAATATATTATTTGTAAATTTTAAAGCAGATGCTTTTGGATGAGAGATAAATACCTATGTAAACAGATAAACTCGGGACTTATTACTGAGCGGTAGAGGACAGACACAAGACACAAATAACATACACCCTTGATACCGAACAGACATGTTTGTTTCTAACGTGAATCTTCATTGTAATAGACGTGCTTAATGCACTCATGTGAGACAAAGACATTTTCTAAATTTTGGTGCTTGCAATTTTTTGTCACCTTTGTGTGGATCATCATTCTAGGGGGAGGGAGGAGAGGAGGCCTCTCTATATAATCCAGGCTGACCTTGAACTCACTATGTAGACAAGGCTGGCCCCAAACTCAGCAATCCTACTGCTTCAGCCTCTCAAGTTCTGGGATTACAGCCACACACTACCACACAGGACTTCTGGACCAGCATTCCTTGTGGGGCAGGGCTTGGAATCAATCTCAGGTCCTTGATCTTGGCAGGCAGGCACTGAGCCATCTCCCCGGCCCCTGGACCATTATTCTTGACTGCCATCATTTTTGTGGCTGCTTGGGTCTCCCGAGTCTTCCACTAATGCTTGCTTTAATGGGCGCTCAGGAGCCCAGCCTGGAAGAGGTGGTGACCTAGGTGTGGAATTCTTGGGGCGAAATCTCCCACGGCTGCATTGGCAACACGCTCTGAGCGGCTGCGCAGACAGGAAGTGCTCATCTAAGGAGAGGTTACTGCTGACTCCAGTGATGGGGCCAGTGGTGCCACAGGAAGTGCAGTCGCAGGAAATGCAGGCTGGAACTCAGGGTTTGGAGGATTATGAGGGTATTCCAGAAAGATGACATTGGGTCAGGGAGATAGCTCAGCTCCTGCCTGGCAAGCACAAGGCCTTGAGTTCAATTCCTGGTACCAAAACAAAACAAAAAAAGAAGTGACTGTATTTGAATAAATATAGATCTCTGTACATGAATAAATGTAGATTTTTGTACATGGATAAATGAATAAACATACATTGTTACATATGAATAAATGTAGATTAGTATACATGAAAAAAATAAGACATCCCCTAAAAATAATTCTTTTTTTTTTTCATTCCACCTCATGCCCCTAAACCAATTTCTTTTTCCCCCTTTTTTTTTTTCCCTCAATGGTACCAGGGATTGAACTCACGACCTTGCACTTGCCAGGCAAGCACTTATTCCACTGAGCTATCTCTCTGGCCCCCTGAAAATTCTTATTGCATCTTTTGATGCAAAAGTCAATATAAGACTTGGTCTTTCTGGGGAAATACAGTAAGTCTTCTTCAGTGCCACCAATAGGCAACTCCTTTGTTCAGAAGCCCACAGTCTGATAGAATCGGACTGCACAGGCCATGGCTGAGATGCCAGCAGTTACGATCCCCACCACGAGGGCTCGAGCTGCCACAGTGGAGATCTATCCTTCGTGCCTCCTAAAGTTCTGAGATTTCCTTGTCTTTTGCAGTACTGGGACTGAATCTGGGGCCTTGGCTAACCTGGGTGAGTGCTCCACCTTTCAGCTGCACCTGCAGGCTACTCCAGAAAGATTTAATTTGAAGCCTTGAAAATTCCCCTCCTCCTAGAGTCTCAAAGGCATCTCAAGTTTCCTGGAGAGTACAGAATACTATGTTCCTACTTAGCTACAAAAGAGAATCCTGATAAAGTGGCAGAAACCAGTCATATTGAATGTTTGCAGCACACTGTGTTCCATTTGCTCATATGAACATCTGTCTTCACACGAACCATAAGAGGGCCCAGCGTCTGCCTGTATCTTGTATGGAAGCAGCCAGGGCGTATGGAGCTGTGGTTCTGCCATCTAATCCTGAGACAAAATGCAAATCAACCACCTTCCTGAGGCCACCATGTCCCTGGGAGGGGACCACTCTGAATAGAGTGCTTTGCCAGCAAAGGACTTGCTTGCCTCTTTGTTTCTAGAGTTAACAAAGGGATAGCGCTGTGGAAATGGCTCAGTGACATAAGGGCCTGCCTGGCAAGTGCAAGGTCCCAAGTTCAATCCCTGGTGCCATCCCTGGTGCTGCAAAACAGTAAATAAATACAACTGATGGAAGGATTAATAAAAACTCTCTCGACTTCTTAGGTTTTTGTTAAATCACAAAAAAGCAAAGCTAACCAAGCTCAGCAGCGGTGCATGCCTGTATAATCCAGCTACCTGGGAAGCTGAGGCATGAAGACAGCAAGTTCAAGGCCAGCCCAAGAAATTTGGGAAGACCCTGTGCTAACAAAATAAAACAGGGCTCGGGAAGTAGCTCAGTGGTAGAGCACTCGCTTACCATGAATATAGTCCAGGGTTCAAACCACAGCATTACAAAAGAAAAAGCCAAGGATCCCAGATGGCTTTGACCTCCCTGATTCTGCCAGTTGGAGTCCAGCTAAGGTGACTTGGAACCATCTAACCACAGAACCCTCCACGTCCCCCTTTGTCTCGCATGCATGGGACAGCCCACTCTTCCCGGGCCACATCCTGCAAGAACCTCTTCCCCCTTGACCTGGTTGAGGGGAACCTTCCTGGAGCAGACAGCCTAAATAATGAGCCTTTTGACTGCAGAGCCAGCTCATTCTCCCCAGGACAATCGCAAGGAATGGGAGAAATTAGGCTGGCGTCCCAGCGGCATGCCCCACTGCTAAGTCCTTGCTTCCCTCGTGCCCACTCAGTTGGGAACTTTAGTTCTTTGTAGGCTAAAGGCCACCTTTTCAGCACAGCTCAATAGCTGTACTGGTCTTTCACAAACTTCAGCTCACTGCAGACTCCAGTGAGCGCTCGCTTTCTGCCACACCCCCCACTCCCTTTGTGGACCTGGACTCTGGTTCCCATGCTGGACCCCTGGGCTCTGCTGCTTCTTGTGAGTACTAGGGAGGCCCTGGGGGCCAGAATGGGGGTGACCATGAGGCCATACACACCTGTCCACTGCTCCTCAATGGCACTGATCTGGTCGTCTGTGAAGTCCCATGAGCGCGCCAGCCTCTGCCACTCTCCGGCCTTCAGCTGATGGTATGCCAGGTCCCAGAGGAGTGCGCGGAGGTGCCTGGTCTCCAGGCTGTGGTCTTGCTTGAAGGTCAGAGTGAAGCCTGTTGACGCAGCCTCTGGATGCACCTACATTGGAAACAACTGTCCTGGGTTATTGCGGACAGGCTTGCCTCCCACCTTAAACCACAGTGTGTAGGCTCTGCAGGCACAGCCGGTGAGGTGGCTCCCGAGCCTCCTTCCAGGGTCAGCTGTCACTGCGTCACTCTTGCCAGACAAGTGCCTGAAGTAAAAGCTTGGCACCACCTGTCAGACACAGGGAATGCAGGATTTTGCAGTGCAGTGCCTGTGCTGCTGACTGGAGCAAACTCACCCCAGACAGGGAACGATTTTAACAGCCTAACTTTCAGCCTCTTTCCTCTTCTTCTTCCTCTTCTTCTTCTTCTTCTTCTTCTTCTTCTTCTTCTTCTTCTTCTTCTTCTTCTTCTTCGTCTTCGTCTTCGTCTTCGTCTTCGTCTTCTTCTTTCTTCTTCTTCTTCTTCTTCTTCTTCTTCTTCTTCTTCTTCTTCTTCTTCTTTCTTCTTCTTCTTCTTTCTTTTTCTTTCTTTTTTTTAAATGTATTTGGTTGTTACAGTGTCTCACTACAGAGCTCAGACTTGCAGTGATCCTCCCCTGCTTTCAGCCTCCCCAGCACTGGGATTACAGGCATGCACCACCATGCCCAGACTCAGCCAGCCCTGGGGGTGGGGCTGGCGCAGCATGTGGTGCTGGGGATCAAACTGTGGTCCCTGCACTTGCCTAAGATTGCTTAAGCAGACTCTTTACCCAGCTGAGCTATCTCGTCAGCCCCCCTTTCTTCTGAGTGTCTGATTTTTCCCCTACCTATGCTTCAGTGAATCCCAGGCCAATAGATCCTTAGTAAGACCCAGCACTGGGTCCTCAATGCACCCTTCTCTGGCCTGAGGAGAGAAGCCAGGAGCCAACCCCAGGCCGAAAGGAAAAGAGGTGCAGAGAGAGCGGGCAGGGTCCCTGATTTCAAGTCCCTGCAGCCAGGTTTAACCCAACAGCACCTGGCCTGGCTTGGTATCTTCTTTTCTGGCTTCTAGAAGGTTCCTTCTGTCCATGTTAGGCTAGGAATGGCAGACACAAGTTGCCTATAATTGTTTTAGAGACGATAAAGTACAGTGCCCAGCTCTGACAAATCCTAGGAGATGAGGTTGATGGTGGAGAGACCCAAGGAGCAAGGGTACTGCAGGCCCTCCCTATACCCCTGCCTCCTTCTCCTGAAACAGCAGTGAATCCCACAAAACTCTGCAACACAGGACAAAAGAGGGGAGCAGAGTGTACCCTGGCACTTCAGCATCTTATGTCTTAGGGGAACCTATGAGCCTTGTGCACCCTGGGGTTAAGCCAGGTGGACCCTCAGCCTCCACAGCAAAGCCCAGACCTCACCCAGGTGGGTGGAGGCCAGAGGCAACCTGTCCACGAAAGCTCAGAAGGCCGAGTCGTTCCCTTGGGGCTGATGGAGTCACGTGAGCTGGGATTGGGTGTTGAAAGCGTGTAGGCCAGATTTTGAGAAGCCTCTTTGCCTCTGAATCAATCACTGAATCTAATGCTAGAGGACTGGGAGGCTGAATGGGTATATATTCTATATAAGCAGATGCTAGATACAAGAAAGAAAATTTAAGCTATATTGTTAATGTTTTTATTAAGAACCATTTTATAGTAGACCAGAATATAAACTTGTCTGATGAACAAAAATGACTGGAAGTAACAAAAAATACATTTGGTAAATATATACATGTAAAAGATTATATATATATATATATATATATATATATATATATATATTTGGACAGAGCCTCACTGTGCAGTTATATATATATATATATATTTGGACAGAGCCTCACTGTGCAGTTCAGGCCAGCCTTGAGCTGTGTAACCCAGGCTAGTCTCAAATTCACAAAGCAAAGATCAGACCGCATGAGTGGCAGGCTTGCCTCAGCCTCCTAATTGCTGGGATTATGGGTGCGCACCACCATGCCTGGCTATCTCTCGGTATATATTAAAAAAACAGATCTCTCTCCTGCCTCAGGCCTCAGAACTCCAGCTGTCTCCAGGGTTAACAACTCTTACCATTTCAGGGGCCTCCTTCAGCTACATTTTTAAATCATGCAGAGTTTTCAAAGCTTGTCTAATCCTTGTATTCTAAACATTTGCTCAGAAAGAGGGATGATTCAAGTGTTGAAAAAGCCCAACTCTTCATCTAGCCAAAAGAACCAAAGAAAGCTACCACGCCATAAAAATAAAGTGAGCGAATATTTCTAGTTTCGGGCCAGTGAGATAGTTCAGCGGGCTAAGCGCCTGCTTAGGCAAGCTCAGGGACTGGTGTTCCATCTCCGGCACCACAGGCTGCGCCAGCCCCACCCCCAGGCGCACTGAGCTTGCCAGCGAGTGTAGGCATGATGACGCGTGCCTGTAATCCCAGTGCTGGGGAGGCTGAAAACAGGAGGATCACTGCAAGTCCAAGCAGCGTAGTATATTTCTAGTTTCAAAGCTGTAGAGGCAACAAATTAAAAAATAAGAGAAAAGGGTAGAACTTAGTAAAGTCCCCTTCAGTAACATGTAACAGTTTTAAAAAATGAGCATAAAGATAAAGAAAAAGAAAGAGAAAGAGGGACTATATAACAAGAGGAAGAGGTGGAGGACAGAGATTAAGTTGTGAGGAGGCTGCTGAGGCTCTTCCAGGGCTCCGCGGGTCATGGCCACAGAGCAGTGCTGGATGCACACAGTGACAGCTTGCCTTACAGCAATGCAGGGATGGGCTGTTGCCTGATGATGGTGCAAGAGCACTGTGACAGCTACACAGCCATCAAATTGCCTGGTGACACCTCTTACAGAGCAGGACCTTGTTGCTAAGCAACCCACAACTGTTAGTCCACAGTACTGAGCCAATTAAACAGAGAGGTAGACATAAATGTCTCTTGTTTCAAGGACCAAAAGGAGATTCCCCAAGGTGGGCAGCCAGGCAGGTGCACAGCTTCTAGGGCAGAGTCCACTGGAGGGGACCTGAGTCCTGGGGCAGGTGCCTGAGGCTGAGGGCTCCTGCTGACATCTTGCCTGGGGACACAGGCAGGGATATAGGGGGACAGGGCAGCACAAGGGTGGCAGACACTTGGCTGTGTTCTCAGATGAACACAGTTTCATACCAGTCACATGCTTAGAAGAAGGCACAGCCAATCACCCTTCAGGGCTCAGCACGAGAGGCCTGGGGAGGACAAGACAGAGAGCCACCCCACCCAGGGGTCCCACCGCCCCTGCGGCAGCCTCACCTCTGTCCAGGCCTGGTACCGCTCTGCCTTGATAAGCATGTCCACAACCAGGCTGTGGCTACCCCGGGCGGCCACGGCCAGCGCAGTCCTACCCTGCTAAAAACGGAGAAGACAAAAGGTCAAGTGGTGTCACCAGATAATGAGGACAGGACTTGTGTTCTGCTGTTCATCTCACCCACTTCCTGGCTGGGTGAATCTAGGCCCATCCTGAGAGTCTCAAGGCCCAGGTACAGGGGGAGGGTAATATGATAAGGCACACAGAGCCTGAGGGATGAGCCATCCCTGAGGTTTCCTGGCCCCTCTAGGTGACACTTAGTGTCTGTTGACCAATAGTATGAAAATGGGAAGGAGCATACAACTTCCAGGCAGGGTCTCTGAAGAAAGGCCAGATGGCCTTCTCCTGTCACACCTCTCTTTCCCTGTGGCATGCAGAGATGATGGCAGGAACACAAACAGCCACTTTATTTATTTATTTATTTATTTATTTATTTATTTATTTATTTTGAGGAACCGGGGATTGAACTCAGGCCCTTGCACTTGCCAGGGAAGCGCTTATTCCACTGAGCATCTCCCTGACCCCAAATAGCCACTTTAGACCAGGAAGTGAAAGCTATGTTTTGAGAAGGGTGGAGTAATATGTCAGAAAAGGGCTGTATCTTATTAAAAACCGTATCAACAATGACAACACAATTTACTTCATGGTACTTCATGGTATAGTCCAGCTAACTGGACTCGTACCTCCAATGTTTTTCCTATTCTAACACAAACACAATAAGCAAAATGAGCTGTTCTGGACATAACTTGGAGTCTGTACTCCTAGAGCCCATATGTCTTAAACTACCAGAAGGGGCACCTTTCTTGGTGGCTATAGCTCAGGGCCAGGCCACACAGCTTTACGAACAGCAGCTCCTGCCCTCCCTGCAGCACACAGCTTCTCCACATAGAGATTTCCCTGAATGAAGGATGGTAGTTCTCGGGTGCTCAGGAAAGGTAAGTTAAGTGAATGGCCAAAATCAACTCCAGCAGCTCTGGTTTCAGGACTCAGATTGCGGCCCTTACAGGTCCAGAAGCCTCACTAATAATTGTGGTGCAGGGCCAGGTACTAGCGACAAGCGCAACTCTTCTACAGGGCGGATCATCTGGCTGTTCGGCCAGTGCCAAGACACAGGTGGGCTGGGAAATTAGGGTTGAAAGTAATCAGCCTCTAATCAAAAGAGACAGTAATGAAATTAGGCAGAACCGCGTTTTGCAGGCATTTAGCAAGCCTCTAATTGCATGCTGCCTAAATTCCGGCCTGTAAGCCATTTGAATCACCATAATTAGTCTATTTTGGGAAGGCAAGTATTCTTAAAGCCAGAGTTCCAGAATGAGAAAACCATCTCAAAAAGAACACACTGGAGAGAAAGGCCAACACTTCTACCCTAGATGGGAAGAGGAGGTGGATCATACACCCCCATACACTTAGTGAAACTCAGGCCAAGCCGGATGCGGTGGCACTTGCCTGTACTCCCAGCACTCAGGAGACTGAGGCAGGAGGATCACCACAAGTTATAGGCCAGCCTGAACTACACAGTGAGACCCAATTTCATAAAACAAAGGGAGGGCCCACAAGATAGCTCAGTAGACTAAAGTGCCTGCTTAGGCAAACCTAGGCAAGCCCAGGGACCACAATTCGATTCCTGGCACCACGTGCCGCACCAGCTCCACCCCATAGCGGACTAAGTAGCACACGCCTGTAATCCCAGTGTTGGGGATGCTAAAAGTAGGAAAGTCACCACAAATCCAAGCTGCATAGTGAGACTCTGCAACAACCAAATACATATAAAAGGGAAATATGTACATATGTATATTTATAGTTTTATAGGATAATTTAAGGTAGTTATACTGCTAATTGCTGTTAGCTCATTGAGAGGAAAAGTTTATGCCTATATTGTTTAATCAAGTTTTCTTTTTTTTATTTTATTGAGAAACAAATAGCAATGAGACAGGTTCAAAACTGATTAATAGGACAGTGTCAATAATTAATACATTGTACATTGTTATCCTCTTAGCATAAGATGCAGACAGGATATCCTGTCCAAACACTATTAGTACAAATCTTTCTTCTCATTGAATTAAGCGAAAGTAGCTGTATATCTATCCTAACTATTCCGCATATACAGATACAAAATGGTCCTTCCTTTGTATCCCCTTTTTTGTTTAGT